AAGGACGATAAGATAAACATTCATAACAAGAACTTGTATCAAACTAGAATTGGAAAGCTCTCTCTTGCTCTGGTTCATATACAATGAAAGCCAGAGCAGGTATCAAATCTAATAGTAAAATGTCAGAAAATTTCCCTTTGAGATAAAAACCAACAGTTCATTAATACCACTTCTATTCAATATTTCACATGACGCTCCAGAGAATATAATAAAAGGATAAAAAAAAGAAAAAAGGAATAAAGATTGGGAAAGAAGAATCAAACTGATTACTGGCAAATGATGTTACTATGTGTGTAGGAGTCCAAAAGAACTTACAAAGAATTTATTTGAATTAGGATATTTAACAATTTAATTAGATTGAAGAAATTGTTTTACAGATCTATCGCATTCCCAAACATTCCAACAAGGAATTTGGGGCGTGGGAAGACACCATTTATAAAATCTTCAAAATAAAAATAAATCTAAAAATTATATGACAGACTTCTGCAGGGAAAATTACAAACCCTTATTACAAGCAGTTAGAGAAGGGATATATTAAGGAGGACACGGCAGACACATGCACGTGAGGGTACAGCTCCTGATCCAAGCCGTATTTCTCGTCTTGGATGAGAATTGGGTTCATGGTATGAATCTTATGACAAATAGTTAATAAAGAGAGAGAAATTCCAACAGCATTTATACAGAATTCACTGTTTTTGGGCACTGCTATAACCTTACATTTATTAATTCAACGTAATCCTCACATCAATTTTTCATATAAATAATACCGTATCACCATTTAACACATGAGGAAAGTGATGGGCAGAGAGATTAAGTAACTTGTCCAAGTCACGCAGCTGCTGAGTGGAGGAGAGGGACCCAGACAGGAAGGCCACAGAATTCATGCTCTTTCTCTGTACACTGTGCCCCCCTCATGTGAGTTAAAAACAAAGGAAAATAAAAAGTATGTACTAGTGAAATAGTGACAAATAGTGAAAAAAATACAAGAACAGTCAATCTATAGGTGAAAAAAGGCAAAAGAACAAGATATAAGTAATGATAAAAATATTAACTAAAGTCAAATCTTTTTTAAAGCACTTTTTTTTTTTAAGTTATTTATTTGACAGGCAGAGATCACAAGTAGGCAGAGAGGCAGGCAGAGAGAGAGAGGAAGGGAAGCAGATTCCCTGCTGAGGAGAGAGCCTGATGTGGGGCTCGATCCCAGGACTCCGAGACCATGACCTGAGCGGAAGGCAGAGGCTTAACCCACTGAGCCACCCAGGCGCCCCACTAAAGTCAAATATTTTGTCCATATCATGGGCAAAAGTAAAACAGTTGATACTTTGATTTTTGGCACGGTTGCGGAGACTTGGTTCTCATGGATGCTGTCGGGGTGGACAGCGGACACTTCTGAAGTCACTTTGGCATTAGCCTTCATGTGCTAATTCAAACTCATTCCATGCTCCATGAGATGACTTCCTATATCCTTTCCCCAAAAAACGTCGCACTTCCCAAGATAATTTTCCCCACAATTCCACTTTATCTTGAACTTTCCTTTATGGAAAACCTTTTGGGACGTGATTTTGCTTTTTGCTTTGGTTTTCTCCCCTGCTATGTCTCAGTCAAGAAAGCTGCTCATTTCCCCTGATGAATCTTTATGAGCAAAGTGAAAGAACTTGTGTCAAGTGTAATGCAGTCATCTTTCCCCGGGGATATAACACACCCACAGAGCAGACGCTGTGTCTGTGCTTGGCAAGAGACCAAGAGACGTCACTGGCAGCAATCACGGGAGCAATGACTCAGAGTGAATTTGTTTGAGATGTGAGCTCGGGGGAGAGGATGTAGGGGAGCGGAGAGATGTGCTGGCTGTCCTGTCTGTATCCACAGGGCCCTGAAAGTTTAAGAGTAAATCCTTAAACAGCCTGCAAATGAGGATCTCAGGAGGAAAGGGGCAAGTCAGGGATATAAGAGTTCCTCCTAGAGCTCAACACAAGCTGATCTCTCTCATCCTGTTAGACACACGTTGTCTGTATTTCTGGTCACTGGGCTCAGAATCTCACTGGGAAGGTGAAATTGTGCCACGGTCACATTTTAACTGCCAGGAGAGGAGGAGGGTGGTACGGGTACAAACGTGCGCATGGTGCTTTTCTGAGAAATTGTCTTCTCAGAGGAGAAAGTCCTGGCAAGATGTGCAGAGCTAAGCTAAGCTAAGCATGACCCATGCAGAACTCCTTCTCTTATTGCACAACAGCTGCTTTTCTGAAAATGTGTGAAACTACTGGTATCTCATTAAAATCATCAAGAGAGACGAGAAAATCATCAGGAGTTTAGGAAAAAATGATGTGTTGAATTTTTTCTGAGTGTAAATAATCAGTCAATCTGATCAACTCTCAATCCTTGTGAATGTTAATATTGTTATAAATTAATGAATAGGAAAACAAAAATTTTCATTTTAAAATAATCTTCCACCGACTTCTATGGAACAGAAAGAACTCTGTGAGGTAGGAGGCTCTTCGTTGCCTGCTCTGCGTGAATGCTTCTGTCGGGGGTGGCTTTAACTGCTGTCCCGCCCTCGTTCAGTCTCCTCTAATCTATAGATATCTTAGGTGGATATGCCTAAAACTACATTTTCTTGAATAGCGGTTGGCCTGATCAGTGTTAGAGGGTGTCCTAGAAAATCAGTCTCAATGCACAGGTCAGCCTGAGAGGCCCCAAATCCACTTAGAGTGATATCACATTGTGTTGCAGCCAAGGTCACAGAAATTTCCTGATCCCTACTTCTGCCTTGGTTTAGCCTTTCCCATGATGTGTTCATCGACCATGAAACTAAACAGAAACAAACAAACTGACATGAAGTCATTGTTATTGGCTGAATTTATGCCTGTAAACTCAGCAGAAATAATCCCTTAGTCTGAAGGTCTAATGGGCTTTGCTTTCTCACTAAAGCCAAATCCAGGTCTGAAGATCTTACCACTCTCCCGGAAGACACAAGAGAAGACAGAGTGGAGCTATAATTAACCAGGAGAGCTTGTGTGTGTGAATTGTGTGTGTGTGTGTGTGTGTGTGTGTGTGTATGCACGTGTGTGTGTGTGTGTGTAAGAGGAAGGAGAGGATGTCCAGTTCTAACCCATGAGATCAGGCCCAAGGACAAATTAATTCTTTGGTCACATTAAAAAAAAAAAAGAGTGAGGATGAAGTGTCAGGAGAGTCATCTAACACACATGACCTACACACTTACCAGTGTTCTGATATCTGACTCCAAGTAGCAGTGTAAACGAGTCATGAACAAGACCAGAAGAAAAGGGGGAGGTTTTCCCATGTCTCCACCCCACAGTGCCTGTCGTATGAGGATGGGAATCAGACACTCTCTGAGGTGAAGGCCATTTGTCTCATCCATGGGAGTTTATCTTTTCCACAGATGTCACCTGGCATAGTCTTCTGCTGCCAGAGACGAACACCTACGCATTCTACCCTCTGTTAATTAAAACGATGGTATCTTCATGAAAGATCATGTGAAAATACTGCAGGGACCTTCATAAAGGAAGCAGATGATGTGGGCTCAGTATCAAGTCTATTCACTAGTGGGTTAGACATTTTAATCCTCTGACAGTTGGTTTCTCACCTATAAAGTATGGATCCTACTGTGTACCTCCCAGGCTGCCCAAAGTGCACATAAAGTAACAGTTTTGAAGAGCAGCACATACTGCAGGTTTGAAGAATTAGCACCTGAAACGGACTCACATGGGGTTATTAGTTTATTTCCTTTTCACAAAACACCTGATAGGCTGGGGCCTGAGTTAACCAACAGGCCCAAGGAAAGGGGAACTTGATGACCAAAAAAAGTAATTTTGCTTTAGTCTCTGCTCTCTTCAGGCCCCTCTCTTGGCAAGTCTCAAGCTTCAAAGGAATGGAAGAAGGGCAGTTGACTTCCAGTCTTGCAGACAGACTCAGCCTCCCACAACACACAGGGGCTGGGAATGAGACATCCCATCCCCCCCCTCCTACTTCAAGCTTGGGCGAGATATGTCATTGATGGGCATCTGGTGGAAGAAAAGGGAGAAATGTGGAAACAAAACGATTCAGTCAGAAGACCTTTATTGCCCAGTGGATCTTGAAAGGAAGCATACAGCCAGGAGGCAGCTTTCTGCATGGAGCGGACACCCTGTTGGCTCTCACTCCTGCGGGAGGAAAGAAAACAAAAATGTCTAACACAAATTCTGGTCTCAAATGCACATGAGATTCTGCTGCACGCAGAATCTCTGGTGCATTCTGGTGCACGCAGAACAGAAACTGCTCTTTACATAAGAATTTACGCATAGTTAATGAAAAGGATTAAGCTAGCTGGCCTTTCTTGGCCATGCTCTGAGATTTTAGGTGTTCTTTTTAACCCATGCTTCTGCAAGTGTCTTCAAGGGATTCTAGAAAAAAAAAATTAGATTTGTATCAGTGCATAGAAAATTAGAAAAAAAAATTGGGTCCCGTAATACGTTAGAAACACATAAATGAATAACTTCTTGTCCAATTTTCTTGCTTGAACTTTACTTGGCTATATCTTAAGCACCAGATATCATCACACTCATGTACAAATGTTATGTGATGTAAGCACTGTGGTCTGCCAATATCGAAAGACTGAGACTCAGGAAACTTAGAGAAAGGGAGAAATATGGAGACAGAAGCTTCTTGGTTCCCTGAAACAGGGAGTCATGGCTGTGAAGTATTTTTCAGGGTTGGTTTCCCATCTGGCTGAGACTGAATAATAGTATTTGCCAGACTCTAGAATTCTGAACACAGACAAGTTTTCCTATAATAGCCATCCATTATTTTTTCCTCAACTGAAAAAAAAACTCAATGAGCAATAATGGACGTGATTGCAGCAAGATGTATTTTTCTGAATTTTATATATGGAAATGAAGGAAATGATCTCTGTTCTTGAAAACTGTTCTCTTGCTTGATCACTTCTGCTCTGGTAGCTTTTCCTTGCACACCTTGCAATTTACTGCTTGGAGAGAGGAGGATCTTGATTAACGTTGGGGCAGGGAAATGGTTCTTTCCACAGATCTACGAAGTGCTGACCTGAAGTCTTTATTTCTGAGGCTATAAATCAGCGGGTTGAACAATGGAGTGAGGATGGTGTAGGAGACAGATATGAGAGCATCTTGGCTGGAGGAGGAGGTGGACTTGAGCCTTAAGTAGATGAAAGAGGCACAACCATAATGGATTATGACAACAATGAGGTGGGATGCACAGGTGGAGAAAGCTTTGTACCTGCCTAATGTGGAAGGAAACTGGACTATGGCAGAGATGATGTGTATATAAGATACCAAAATCAGTAACAGGGGGACAACTAGGACCAATGCACAGAGCATGATGATGACAATCTGACTCAAGTGGGTATGGTGGGATGCCACTTTGAGGACAGGGGAGATGTCACAGAAGAAATGATGGAGCTGATTAGAAGAGTGGAAAGGCAGATGAAATACCATGGAGGTGATAATCTGTGCAATAGTAAAGCCACAGGCACAGGCAGCGCCCACTAGTCCCACACACACCCGGTGTCCCATGAGCTCCGTGTAGCGCAGAGGGTTACAGATGGCCACATAGCGGTCATAACCCATGGCGGCCAGCAGGAAGGAGTGAGAACAGCCAAGGAAGAGGAAGGTGAACATCTGGATGGCACAGCCCAGGAAGGAGATGGTCTTCTTCTGGGCCAGTAGGTCCACCAGCATCTTGGGTACAATGACGAAGGTGTAGCAGGTCTCAGAGCAGGAGAGGACGGCAAGGAAGAAGTACATGGGGGTGTGAAGTGCTCTATCCAGCATGATGGTGGAAATGATGATGGCATTGGTGCCCAGGGTGAACAGGTAGAGGGGCAGGAAGGCTATGAAAAGCAGTCGCTGCAGCCCAGCCAGAGAAGAGAAGCCAAGGAAGACAAACTCCCTCACCAAGGTCTCATTTGCCCCGCTCCATGGACGGTACATCATTTGGAGACAATCCAAGAGAGGGGTAGATAGTATCAAGATAAACCTCTGAAAATGAGTAGAATCATAAGAAATTGTTCATCATTGAATAGGTGTTAAGATCTGAGTTCTAAATTCATTACTCCACCTCCATCCAGATTATATTTTAGGCAAAAAGTGGTGCCTAAAATCAGCCAAGAGCACATCCAACTTTGCATCTCCACAATCATTCTAACAAAACAGGCAAATGGTTCTTGATGTTTCTCAGCTCCAACTATCCCTTCATCTCCTCTTGCAGGATGCAGCTGTCATTCACATCCCTCGGCCCTCACTGTTTATCACGCAAACCTGGCCTTTTTGCTTGCTTGTCCTCACATGCCTGGACCCTCAGTTGCAGAATACATGGTTTTCACACGCTACATTGAGAGGTGACTTTGTCCATGATCCTCAGCATCTTCTCATTAACATTTTCCTTAAATAGTTCAACTGTTACTTCCCATCTCTCCATAACTTGGACCTGCATTTCCCTTGCCCCTGATGGCCACACTTACTGGCATGGTCATTGGCTCCACCTTTGCATACCCTTATTATGCTGACTGTTGCTTCTGGAACTTCATTCTGTTCCGCAATCTGGAACAAGATTTCCAGGATAGAATATACCTCTGCATCCTCCAGTGCCCACCTCAGAGACCTTCCTCCTGCAGAGAGAACCCCCATCTTCCTCAGGACCCTTGTCCATTTCCATTACTTCCCTTAACTCCTACTGACACCCCATTGTGCTTGTCCTTCCTATCGCACCCACATCTCTTTTCAATGCATCTGAAGATGCAAACCCTGATTCCAGGTAAATTTCTATAATATAAATTATATCATATTACTCCCCTCCTCAAAATTTACCCATGACTTCATATTCCAACTCTCTGTGACTTTTAAGGTCTTATTTTGGAAACTGAACTATGGGTCTGTGATCATATCAACCTTCATGGAATGCATCCTTATCATGCAGATATGTTTCATCTTCTTTGCCTCTACTCCTTGCTTAGGCTAGCTTGTTACTCATTTTTTATTTACAGATCTTTTACCATTATTCTAAGGCTTTAGCTAAATCTGCTTTTTTGGGGAACTTCCTTGATATCACCCCATAAAGAGTTGTCTCTGTTCTAAGAATTTACATATGACATTAATCCCCAGTTTAATGTGTTTACTTAATTTTGAAATATTATAACGCATTTTTCTCATCTCTCTTTTCCGTTGGACTTTCTATCCTTCAGGGGAAGATATAAATTGTATGTATCTTCAGCTGAATTCTCTTCAGTATCTAGAACCTGTATTAAGTACACCTAATAGCTTCTCAATAAATAATAGTCGTATAAATAAAAAAGCTAACTTGGCATGTTGTTACTTATCTTGTGGTGTCAAGAAGTCTTCCTAGAATGTGAAGAGTAAGAGAATCTTCAGTCTTCTTTCCTCCCAGGCATGAGGATTATAAAAGACCAAGAATGCCTGAGGATTTCTGTACTACAAGGAACTAAGTAGTATCTTTCAAACCCAAGAGAGAAATCTCCATTTACAATAGGAATATAGCACTGAAGAGAGCATAACTGGAATTGCATGTATGCCCAACTCCTTGGACACTGGTTACTCTCTAGAGCATATGGGAATGTAAGTAAATGGGAGAGAAAATATAAGGTAGACGTGTGTTTATCCCAATGTTAAAAAGTGTATCATTCAAAACTATTATCGTAACTAATACCAATAACAAAAAATAATGGCAGTGTACCCTACCCTAGCAGAGAACCCCTACATCAAGAATATCAGATGCTATACAAGTGTTAAGCAGTGTGATTATGACAAGGCGCTGTGTGTTAGGGACATGCATAAAAATAAGACCCAGTCCAAGACGTCATGGTTCGCGGTGAGATGTTTGCAGAAGTGATTATTAAAAAATAATGTGGTGACTGAAATGGTAGATTCTCACTTGCAGCTGAGAGCACCAAGGAGAAAAAATCTTTTGTATATCTTTGGAAAAGAATATGTCTGTGCTTGTTTCTGGGTTTCTTTGTATCTGCAATAGAAATGTTGAACTAAAGCATTCTTGGAGAATATAATGAGACTGGGCATAATTTAGTTTCTACTTTCATCCAGATGTATAAAAGTTTAGGGAAGCACAGTTGCTGTCTTGCACCTGATGTTTTGTGGTTCCATAGTGTCACCCGTCACCCCTGTCAGACTTCTCTTCCTCCTCCTTATTCCGCTACTTTTTTGTTCAACGCCTGACAAAAGGGTCTTTATATCCTAGAAGGCATGTTTATTACTAGTATATTCTTATCTTTCTAATACCAGGATCCCCAATTCTGAGGACTACAAATGAATTTCCATGCTTATGATCTCAAATTTTACCTTTATAAGCCCAAGTAAAGTTGAGTAATGGAATAAAATGGGTTTTGAACTTAGACCAATTTAGGCCTTAATCCTGACTCTGGCATACTTTAGTGGTAAGATCATAAATCCCCCAAGTCCCATTGTTTCATTTGTATAGTGAGAGATGCAATTCCTGTGTCCCAGGGCTACAGTGAAGATGAATTGAAATCACGTCTAGGAAAGAGTCTAATTTAGTAAATAGCGAAGGCTCAGTAAACACTTTCCTTTCATTACTTTACTGTTGTTCCTTTTTCCTCAGTAAGATAATGAGCTTTTAACTCACGGGCAAGTTGTTGAATCTGCCTTTTCTGCGCTTTCCAAGGGAGGGAAAATTTAAGAGGATTATCATCCCCCTGAGGCTCTCCAAGCCTGACGGAAGGTAATCGGGTTGTTTAAGTAGAGTCTTGCTCTGCACTGGAGGGAGCAAGTCTAGACTTTGAAGGATGAGGCCAGCCCTTTGCCGCCTAGTTGTTCCACAGCCAGAGTCATCCGTGTAGGTTAATTACATCTGGTAGAAAGCAAAGGAGCTTTCTTACATTTTCTATTTTGTTGGGGATGGTATGAGACAAATTTAGAAGATAAATTGTATTAATCCTAGTCACATATGAATATAGACTTAGGAATTTCTCATTACGGATGTTTTATAGTTACCAATGATGCATATTTTGTACATGTTTTTAGGTATCAACGTATTTAAGTATCAAACTCAACTCTTCATCGAGCTCCTAAAGAATGGAACACGTTGCTCCATAATTCTCATACTTTATGATTTCAGGATTTCTATTATGTTCTAAGCACTGGAAATATAAACATGAGTAAAATCACTGTCCCTTTCCTTGAGAAGAGCGAACCAAACGGCAGGCATATTGCAAGGCAAACCATCATAAACATTATGAAAGAAGTACAAGCAAAATGTCCTGAAAATCTTGAGGAAACAACAAATAATTTCTGGAAAGCTTTGAAGAAAAAACAGTATTTGAATATCACCAGTTAGCATTTTGATAAAAATATGACATTACAGGTGTTATTCATGTAAACATTGTGATTGAAATGATGGCCACTTTCCTTAGTGTTGACTAGCCCTTCAGAACAGAACCAATGCCTGTTGTTTTGTTGTGTTAACATACAGACATTTCATATTTCCAAAGGAAATGCAGGTGTTTATACATGGCTGTGGAACAAGAGACACTCACTTCTCCCTTTCTTCTGTTTCTGTACCATTAACGTCACATTAAGTTCACCAACTAACCCCACCCCTAGGCTACTTCAGTTAGTTCTTAGGGGGACTTCATACCCCCCAACTAGTCTGTCAGTACTCATGTTGACATTTCAGGGAAGAAAAGAAATAAAATACAATTTTGTGAGAGCTTATCAACCAAAATTTGGAACCATCTTTTAGAAATATAATGTGAACTAACATTTATTATAAGTTCACCATATTCAGAAGAGAGTGAAAAAATTATACGTATTGATCATTGGTGTTCATAATGAGACCTGAGGTACATATTATTTTTAATATATCCATTATAAAGATGAGAAATTTAATAACCAAAGAGTTTGAGGATACGATTCAAGTTCACACAGCCGGTAGAAGTAGCCAGTAGAACACACACACGTATGTTACTGAAAAGAGGACAGCAGAATTCTGCCACTCTCCTTCCATACAAAGGTAATCAGACAGGATTTCTCTGACACTTTTGTTGCGGACTCAAGTCCTGACCCCACCATGTATTGGCTCTGGGACTCTGATGTGTCTAAATAAATTTTCTCATCTTTAAAATGGAGTTCACTCTGATAATCAGCTAACCTAACTTTCAAGCTTTCTCCAAAATAAGTG